CTGCTTGGCAACGGATGTGCTCAATGTTGGTTGTGAGTTGACTTACCTGTACGTATTTATGTATTATTACCGTATTTTTCAGACTATAAGATGCACCGATGTATAAGACGCACCAAGATTTTGAAGAGGTAAGTAAGAAAAAAGAAGTTTTGCCCTCCCCAGGTCCCAGGAGCACTCTACAGGCCTCCCAAACACTCTGTGCATCCAGTTTTTGTGAAAAACGGGCCCATTTTTTGCAAAAATAGGACGCGCGGGGTGGAGCTTCGGGAGGCCGAAAATGGCTGTATTCGGTGTATAAGACGCATCAACATTTCCACCCTCTTTTAGGGAGGGGAAAAGTGCATCTTATACTCCAGAAAATACGGTGTATGTATGTGTATGCTCAAGCAGGAGATCCTAGTCCATTTCAGATAAGTGACTGTCCAGTCTCTTCTTGAAAACTTCCAGTGATGGAGCATCCACAACTTCTGGTGGCAAGCTGTTCCACTGGTTAATTGTTCTCACTGTGAGGAAATTTCTCCTTAATTCCAGGTTGCTTCTCTCTTTGGTTAGTTTCCATCCATTGTTTCTGTCTAGACTAGATAGAATTCTTTATTGGCCAAGTGTGATCGGACACACAAGGAATTTGTGCATACGCTCTCGGTGTACATAAAGAAAACATAAAATATATTCATCAAGAATCGTAAGATACAAGACTTAGTCATAGTCATAGGATACTAATAAGCAATCAAATCATACTAGGAAACAGTACAATTCTTCTCCTGCCTTGAAGGTGCTTTGGAGAATAATTTGACCCCCTCTTCTTTGTGGCAGCCCCTCAAATCTTGGAAGGCTGCTATCATGTCACCCCTAATTCTTCTTTTTTAAAGACTTAGCCAAACCCAAAATCTGCAGCCATTCGTCACATGGTTTGGTCTCCAGGCCTTTGATATATACGGCAAGAATTATCTGTATTGTGACCCCCAGACAACTGTCGTAAATACTTGTCAGCTCCCAAATTTTGATCACATGACTGTGGGAACACTGTGATGGTTGTAAGAGCAAAGACAATTGTAAGTCACAGTGCTGTCCTAAATTTGAACGGCTGCTAAACAAAATGGCCGTAAGTCGAAAACTATAACTGGTTAATTTTATTGTATTAAAAACCCAAGAGAAGAGTTGATTTATAACCCGTTTAAGTGGTCGGTCCAGACACAATAATTTCCACCAACTATTTATTTATTTATTTATTTATTTATTTGTTTGTTTATTTATTTATTTATTTATTTATTTATTTATTTATTTAATTAATTAATTAATTAATTGAATTTCTATACTGCCCTTCTCCCGAAGGAGTCAGGGTGGTGTACAGCCAAAAATAAAACCATGACAATATAAAAATTAAAAACAATTTAAAACAATTAAATAAATTGGCCAAAAAACTCTAATAAAACAACCCATTAAAATAGTAAAATGTTATTATTTAGGCCAGCCCTGCTTCTTGAAATAATAATCTTTTTAGGGCGCGACGAAAGGTACGATGGTCGGGAATCCTACGAATCTCTGGGAGAGATTCCCTTTTAGGGAGGATTTCCTTTTAAATTCTTTTTTAAATGTGTTGTCTCAATTGTAAAAAACAACAGCCAAAATTCTCTGGAAACTGGGGGTTTTTTTGTGTGTATGCGTGCAAGCAGTACCACTACCCGTTCACCCTTCCCAAGTTCCTGTTTTGGGCGAGATGCTTCCTTTTTTGAATTAGGTTCCCGAGACCAGAAGTCCCGACTGACTCAGCACCCTCAGCCACAACCTGTCCTGTCCCCGTAGGAGTGAGCAGCGGCTTCCCACAGGCCTTCCTTACAAGGCTGGCGTTGGAAAGTGGAGATTAAGGTCAGCAGGTCAGGTCCCAAAAGCCAAATCAAAAAGAGATTAATTTACTGGGCAGAGAACCAGCTGTAGAAACAGCGTCCTCAGCTTATGACCATTCGTTTAACAGCAGTTCAGAGTTATGACGGTGCTGAAAAAGTGACGTACAGCTGACCCTCGCCCTTGTGATAGTTGCGGCGTTCCCATGGTCCCCTCACTGCGATTTGGACACTCGGCAAAACGCTTACACCAATGACATTTCGGGTGTCCTGCAGATCACCATTTGCAACCTTTCCCTGCCGGCTTCCGACAAGCAATGGGGAAGACGGCAGGAAGTCGGACGTCGCAGCCCTATGATAAAGGTCGTTCTCGACTTACAACCACAATTGAGCCCCCAATGTCCGTCGCTAAGCAAGACAGTTGTTAAGTGAGCTTTGCCCCATTTTACGACCTTTCTTGCCACAGTCGTTAAGGGAATCACTGCTGCGGTTGTGAAGTTAGTAGCAGGATTGTTAAGCGAATCTGGCTTCCCTCCCCATTGACTTTGCTGGTCAGGAGGTCACAAAACCACACCTAGAGTCCTGCATCCAGTTTTGGCCACCACACTATAAAAAAGATGGGGAGACCCTAGAAAGAGTGCAGAGAAGAGCAACCAGGATGATGAGGGAACTGGAGGCTCAAACATACGATGAACGGTTGCAGAACTGGGCCTGGCTAGTCTACGGAACAGAAGGACCAGGGCAGACAGGAGAGCATCTTCCAATACTTGAGGGGCTGCCATAGAGAGGAGGAAGGGGGTCAAGGTGTTTTCCAAAGCACCCGAAGGCCAGACAAGGAATAATGGATGGAAACTGATCAAGGAGAGATTCAACCTGGAAATAAGGAGGAATTTTCTGACAGTGAGAACAATCAACCGATGGAACAGAAGCTGCCTTCAGAAGTTGTGGGAGCTTCAACATTGGAAGCTTTCAAGAAGAGCCTGGACTGCCACCTGTCAGAAATGGTGTAGGCTCTCCTGCTTGGGTAGGGGGTTGGACTAGATGACCTTACAAGACCCCTTCCAACTCTGTCAGTCTGTTAATGATCCGGCGACACTACAACTGTCATAAATATGAACCAGTTTTCCAAGCATCTGAATTTTGATCAACGTGACCCTGGGGTTACCGCAACGGTCGTGTGAAAAAAAATGCTCACAAAATTCGCTTTTTTTTTTCAGGGCTGTCACAACTCCAAATGGTCCCTTAAACAAAACAGTCGTTAAGTCTGCCTGTATCTTGTTCATGAGCATGGGTGATTTGGGTAACAACCATGGCAAAAAAAAAAAAGAGGATCTGCTGCAGTCACATGGTGCCTCACTTAATGACCACACGGCTTAAAAGAGTCCCAATTGTGGTCGTAAGTCGAGGGCTACCTATATTAGGCCCAAAACTTTGCAAGCTTTTGGCCCAGCCAAATTTCACACCTGCCCAGAAATTCCTATTCATCATTTGAACGGCAGCTTGATCAGAGGGCTGGACTAGAAGACCTCCAAGGTCCCTTCCAGCTCTATTCTATTCCTCTTCTATTTCCCCTTCAGGAAGCAAAGGGCCAGGGAGACCTTGGACAGAAAAAATCGGGGTGGCGTGACCCCCAACCAGGGTCCTACACACTCACTCCCTTCCACCTGGAACCTCCACCTGGGCAGGTGGGCAATTTTGAGCTACAAGAGATGGCAAACTCCTCCTATCATTTTATTTCCGGATCAAACATGGCACCCAGAGGCCCCTTTGTATAAATATCCAACTTCTGACTTTCTTTTAAGTCAAAGGAGATTGACACGGGCATCACCCCCCGAATTCACAAGGTTAAGCCCAAAGACTCATTTCTGCCGAAAGGGGAAGTTGGAGAAACATGAAACAGAGGTTTAAATTGCAATCTGAAATTTTGCAAGCGCATTTAAAAGAAGAGAACTCATGAAAGCAAACACCCCACCTCTCCCACCTCCCCCCCAAAAAAAGGCCTCAATTTGGCAGCTGATGAGCTTCAGGATCCAGAAAAATATCTCGAGTTTACAGCACAAATTGTACTATTTTTCCGACAGCAATGAAAACCTGAAAAATCACTCCAAACTCGTGTCTACAAAATTGGGTTCCTCTTTCCTCAAGTTGGGGCTAAACCAGCGTTTTTTTTTTCAACCGTGGTGGCTTGAAGAGGTGAACTCTGGGAGTTGAAGTCCACCCAACCTTGAATCATGCTGACTGGGGAATTCTGGGAGTTGAAGTCCACCCATCTTCAAATGTTCTTGCTTATTTATGTGGAGGGCCCTTTCTCTCCTTTCCTCTATTGTGAACCAAAAATTAAAAAAAAAACAGGGGGGCATCCACCCCCTGCCCTTTCTGCAGAATCCCCCTCTTCAGTGGGGTCCTTTTCTCCCAGCACTCTCCAGACAATCCAAACTGACCCACAGAGCAGATCCAGCTCTGGATGAAAGTTCTTGAGATGTTCCTCAAAATTCAGAAAGTCCTGAGGAGGAACTTTCTCCCTTCTTCTGCTTTGGACCACAAGCAACTCAAATCCTGCTGGATCAGAGCCTGCTGGTGGGACTGGCCAAGGAGGATGGGTCATGGAATCCAATGCAGGCCAAGGAGGATAGGTCACGTAATCCAAAGCAGGCCTAGAAAAATAGGTCAAGTCATCCAAAACAGGCCAAGGAGGATAGGTCATGTCATCCAACACAGGCCAAGGAAGATAGGTCATGTCGTCCAACGCAGGCCTAGAAAAATAGGTCAAGTCATCCAACACAGGCCAAGGAAGATGGGTCATGTAATCCAACACAAGACAAGGAGGATAGGTCATGTAATCCAACGCAGGCCACAAAGGATAAGTCATGTATTGCAATGCAAGTCACGTCATCCAACACAACCCCATTCCCTCAGCTCCAAAGATTGTGGTTTATGGATGTTTTTGGAGACTTCCAAGCAAAGTCCTGGAGAACTTCGGAGCAGCACAAGAATCTGCTCCACGTAGACCCTTTTCGGAGGAAGACTCCATCATTGGGAGGTTGAATGGCGAATGGCAACATGGAGCAGAGATGCCATCTAGAGCAGGGGTCTCCAACCTTGGCAACTTTAAGACTTGTGGACTTCAACTCCCAGAATCCCTCAGCCAGCTGGCTGAGGGATTCTGGGAGTTGAAGTCCACAAGTCTTAAAGTTGCCAAGGTTGGAGACCCCTGCTTTGCTGGCTGAGGGATTCTGGGAGTTGAAGTCCACAGGTCTTAAAGTTGCCAAGGTTGGAGACCCCTGATCTAGAGACTGGACACCCCTTTCGAGACCCCTCAAGGATGAGATCGCCAGAAACTTCGCCAGGCGGCCTCTGCAACCGGCCAGCCCACTGACGACCTCAATAGATGGCTTCGTCCATATTATCATCGCTGTCACCCCCAAAATCTTCTCCGTTGTCAAAATAGGACATGATGTAGTCCGTCTCCTGCAGCAGCAAAAACACAACAACAAAAAAGGAAAACAGATGAAATCCGACACTTTCAGAGCCTGCTAAAAATACTTATTCAGGTGGATTGGAGATTTAAATTTTAAATCCACTTTTGTCAGAAGCTGGGATGCGGTTCCAGGCCACAGAGATGCCTGCGTTGGAGATGTGGTGCAGACTCCAAACAGCAAATTGGTCAGGATGGGCAGCATTTAAAGTTTAAAAATAAAAAAAGAAAGTAAAGTAAAGTAAAAATATAATAATATAATGAAAAATACTAAAATTAATTGAAAAAATTAATTAAAATAAAACAAAACAAAAACAAAATAAAACAAAACAAAATAAACTAAAATAATAAACTAAAATAATAAAATAAATAAAAATAAAGTAAAGTAAAATAAACTAAAATAATAAACTAAAATAAAGTAAAATAAACTAATAAATTAAAATAATAAAATAAAATAAATAATAAAATAATAAAATAAAATAATAAAATAAAATAAAATAATAAACTAAAATAATAAATTAAATAAAAATAAAATAAAATAAAATAATAAACTAAAGTAAAATAAACTAATAAAATAAAATAAACTAATAAAATAAAATAAAATAAAATAAATAATAAACTAAAATAAAGTAAGCTAAACTAAACTAAAATAAAATAAACTAATAAAACAAAACAAAATAAATAAAATAAAATAATAAAATAAAATAAAATAATAAAACAAAATAAATAAATAAATAATAAACTAAACTAATAAAAGAAAACAAAACAAAATAAATAAATAATGAACTAAAATAATAAAACGAAAAAATAAAATGAAATAAATAAATAAGAAAACAAAACAAAACAAATAGTTTTGGGGTTTTAAATTTGTCGGGCCAAAATTATTTAATTTGATTTTATTCTACTTTTAAATTTTGTATGTATGTGTTTTATTGTTTGGCTGTGCACCGCCCTGAGTCCTTCGGGAGTAGGGCGGTATAGAAATCAAATCAAATAAATAAATAAATAAATAGATAAATAAATAATAATATAAAAATATAAAATAAAATAAAGTTGCGGGAGCTGCATCACTGGAAGCTTTCCAGAAGAGACTGGACTGCCATCTATTCAGAAATGGTATAGGGTCTCCTGCTTGGGCGGGGGGTTGGACTAGATGACCTACAAGGTCCCTTCCAATTCTTGTTATTCTGTCCTATTCCTCCAATTCAGCGTTCCTCAACCGTGGCCTTTTCAAGATGGACGGACTTCAGCTCCACGGTGGCTGAGGAATTCTGGGAGTTGAGGTCTACCCATCTCCAAATGGCGGACATTGGGAAACGCTGCTCCCACTAAAACTCAGAGGCAGCCATTTTGGGGCCTTTGCCTCTGCGGTAGTTTCTCTTACCTCTTCAAACTCTTCTTCATCATATTCTTCCTCCTCTTCCTCCTTGCCTTCTTCGCCCTCTTCCTTCTCCTCTTCCTCTTCCGATGTCACTTCTTCCTCTTTCTTCTCCAGCGTCTAGGAAAACAATTAAACAAACCTGATCAAAATTTTGGGTATTTGGCAACCGGCGCACATGATGATGACATTTGCAGAATCCTGGGATTGTGTGATTGTGCCATTTGCGACCTTCCCAGCCTGCTCCCTACAAGCAAATCCAAGGGGGGAGCCATACTCACTTAATGACCAGCGATTCGCTTAACAACCGTGGCAAAAAGGTTGTAAAATCAGGCGCAGCTCTCTTTAACAAACGCCTTGCTTAGCAATGGAAATTCTAGTTCCAATTATGGTTGTAAAACAAACCAAAGTTTGTATGTAGGCAAACGCCGTTGCTCCATCTCTTGATATTGTGGTTAGATGCTGGGCAATCCTGGAAACGGGGAGGATTTTCATCTTGAGAAATGTACGAAAAGAATTTGGAAATACAAGTCAATCCTTGATTGATGGCCACTATTTCAGTTGCTAAGTGAGACAGACGTTAAGTGAATTTTGCCCCATTTTACAACCTCTCTTGCCACAGTTGTTAAGTGAAACCACCGCAGGTCTTAAGTTAGTAGCATGGTTGTTAAGTAAATCTGACTTCCCCACTGACTTTGCTTCGCATAAGGGGATCACGTGACACCACGACCGTCATAAGTATGAGTCAGCTGCCAAATTTCGAATCACATGACGATGGGGATGCTGTTCGGGTCGTAAGTCTGAAAAACGTTCATAAGTCACTTTTTTCCGTCCCATTGTAACTTCGAAGGTCACTAAAGGACCTGATGTATATTGAGGACGTGTATGAGAAGAATTTCAAAAAGGGACGCAGTGACTCAGTGGCTAAGACGCTGAGCTTGTTGATCGAAAGGGTCGGCAGTTCAGCGGTTCGAATCCCTAGTGTGCCGCACAACGGGGTGAGCTCCCATGACTTGTCCCAGCTTCTGCCAACCTCGAAAGCAGGTAAAAAATGCAAGTAGAAAAATAGGGACCACCTTTGGTGGGAAGGGAACAGCGTTCCGTGCGCCTTTGGCGTTGAGTCATGCCAGCCACATGACCACGGAGACGTCTTCGGACAGTGCTGGCTCTTCGGCTTTGAAACGGAGATGAGCACTGCCCCCTAGAGTCGGGAACGGCTAGGACATATGTGCCAGGGGAACCTTTACCTTTACCAATGAGAAGAATTTGGAAATAAAGGAGGAAAAAACCATATTCTGTCCCAGCCCGGTTCCTTCTTCAAAGGAGTCTCCCTTACCTCCAGCTTCTTAATGGCTTCCTCCTTGTCTGCGGGCACTTTGGGTTTCTGTTTGGGAACTGGAACCACCTGCCCTGCGCCAGAAAGAAACCAGAAATGCTGATTATTCTGGCCAGCCACTCTCCTGCGACTGTTTTCGGCCAGGCTGCAATCAAGGAGCCGATTCATAGAAAAGCAAAACTCTTAAAAGTCATGGGTCAGTTGCGGGCACCCTGCGGGCCTGAAAAAAGGCACAAAATACAGAATAACAGAATTGGAAGGGACTTCAGAGGCCTTCTAGTCCAACCCAACGCCCTTGCTCAAGCAGGACACCTGATAACTTTGTGGATAAAGGGCTGTTCAATCTCTCCTCGAAAACCTCCAGCGATGGAGCAGGAAGGAAACCGTTCCACTGGTTAATTGTTCCGTCCGGAAGTTTTTCCTTAATTCCAGGTTGCTTCTCTCCTTGATTAGTTTCCATCCGTTGCTTCTTGTCCTGCATCTTCAGGGGCTCTGGAGAATAATTGGACCCTTCCCTCTTCTTTGGGGCAGCCCCTCAAATACTGGAAGACTGTTATCATGTCACCCCCAGTCCTTCTTTTTTTTTTAATTTGATTTATATGCCGCCCTTCTCCGGAGACTCAGGGCGGCTTACAATGCGTTAAGCAATAGTCTTCATACTTTTGTATATATTTATACAAAGTCAGTGTCAGCACTTTAACCTACATTTGTTCCAGTGCTGACATAAGGAGGAGAAGAGGGGGCAGCTGGCAAGAGGACGCTTGACTTCTCACCTACTTATTTTCCCTGAAGATAATATCCCCTAGGAGATGAGATGGGAGGGGGGACATTCCTGGGAGCTGAAGTAGTAGATATGGGGGAAGTGATTTGGGGTCAGGAAGTCAGTATTGGCTACGCCACAATCGGGGACAGGTTGTCGTGCTTAATAAAATGAAAGATTTCTTCAAAGACTATTTGTTTGGAAATGCAATTTATTTTATTTGAGACGACATCGAAACCTGACAGTCAGCTTATTGCCCCCACAAACTGGGCCCTCATTTTACCTACCTTAGAAAAGGATGGAAGGCTGAGTCAACCTTGAGCCTGGCGAGATTCGAACTTACAGTAATTGCAGACAGCTGGTGTTAATCACAATGCTTTTAGTCTGCTGAGCCACCAGGCCCCTAGCCATGCCAAATTCCTTCATCACTGGAGACATTCAAGAAGAGATTGGACTGCCATTTGTCAGAAATGGTGTAGGGTCTCCTGCTTGGGCTGGGGGTTGGACTAGATGACCTACAAGACCCCTTTCCAACTCTGTTCATCTGTAATCATCCTGCAACTGTTCTTCATATATTTCTACCTCCAGCTCCCTAATCCTCTTTGTGGCTCTTCTCTGCACTCTTTCCAGAGTCTCAACATCTTTTTTTTATATCGTGGCGACCAAAACTGGATGCAATATTCCAAGTGTGATGGATGTAATATTCCAACTCTAACCCTAACCAAGGCATTATAGAGTGGTAATTAACACTTCACATGATCTTGAGTCTATCCCTCTGTTACTCAGCCTGGAATTGCATTGGCCTTTTTGGCAGCTGCTGCACACGGCTGGCTCCTATTTAAATGGTTGTCCACTAGATCCCTCTCAATGTCCTTAAACATCAGCTGGCAGCCGACAACATCTGTTGGATGACATCAAACGTTGTCCTCACACACTGACCGAAGTGATGGGCATTCTAGTCTGAAGCTCTTGGACAAAGGAACATTGGATGGACTGATGCTCTCTGATCCAGCTTTCAGATTTGATCAAATAGCATCTTCCCAGTGTGTCCAATGGCAACGAGAATAGAATAGAATAGAATAGAATAGAATAGAATAGAATAGAATAGAATAGAATAGAATAATATACAGAATGAGAGAAGAGAAGAGAAAAGAGAGTAGAATAGAATAGAATGGAATGGAATGGAATAATATATAGAATGGAAGAAGAGAAAGAGAAGAGAAAATATAGAATAGAATAGAATAGAATAGAATATAGAGAATGAGAGAAAAGAAATAGAATAGAATAGAATAAGAATAGAATAGAATAGAATAGAATAGAATAGAAAAGAAAAAATAGAATAGAATAGAGAATAATATATAGAATGAGAGAGAAGAGAAGAGAAAATAGAAGAAGAAGAGAAGAGAAAGAAGAGAAGAATAGATAGAATAGAATAGAATAGAATAGAATAGAATAGAATAGAATAGAATAGAATAAATATATATATAGAATGAGAGAAGAGAAGAGAAAAGAGAAGAGAGAATAGAATAGAATAGAATAGATAGAATAGAATAGAATATAATAGAATGGAATGAGAATGAGAATGAGAATAGAATAGAATAGGAATAATATATAGAATGAGAAGAAGAGAAGAGAAGAGAAAATAGAAGAGAAGAGAAAGAGAAGAGAAAATAGAAGAGAAGAGAAAGAGAAGAGAAAATAAAATAGAATAGAATAGAATAGAATAGAATAGAATAGAATAGAATAATATATAGAATGGAAGAAGAGAAGAGAAGAGAAGAGAAGAGAGAAGAGAAAGAAGAGAAGAGAAGAGAAGAGAAGAGAAGAGAAGAGGAGAAGCTGGAAGGGACCTCGGAGGTCTCCTAGTCCTTCCCTCTGCTCAAGCAGGAGAACCTATACCATTTCAAACAAATGACTGTCCAGTCTCTTCTTGAAAACCTCCAGAGATGGAGGCACCCACAACTTTTAGTGGCAAGCTGTTCCATTGGTTAATTGTCCTCATTGTTAGGAAGTTTCTCCTTAATTCCAGGTTGATTCTCTCTTTGATCAATTTCCAACCATTGTTTCTTCTTGTCCTGCCCTCCGGCACTTGGGAGAATAATTTGACCCCCTCTTCTTTGGGGCAGCCCCTCAAATACTGGAGTAATGCTATCATGTCACCCCTAATTCTTCTTTTCTCTAGACTAGCCAAACCCAAAACGTTCTTCATAGGTTTAAGTCTCCAGGCCTTTGATCCTCTTAGTTGCTCTTCTCTGAACTTTTTCCAAAGTCTCAACATCTTTTTTGTGGGGACCAAACCTACTTGTTCAATTCCAGGGAATTGAATGTTTCCATCATTATTAGCTCCACCCACCAAAAACAGCCTGAAATCAAACCGGCAAACTTTGCTCGCATTAGTGAGATTTTCCTTACAGAAAGAAATGGGGTCAGCTTTCCTGCTGCAGGAGTTTGGGGAAATTATATTTTTCCTCCACAGATAATAAAATTACTTACTTTGTTTTCGAGTCTTCTTCACGCGAATTTTTAGTTCTGGAGGTAGCTGCTTCCAATCTGCAGAGATCAGCAAAGATTTAATTGAGCAATTAAAATTTAGCCACTTGGGCTCCAATGTGCTTTGGTGGGATTTTAAAAAAATAAAATAAAATTAGAAACTCTGCATCTCTTGGGCATAACTTAGAGCAGGGATGCCCAATCTTGGCAACTTTAAAACTTGTGAACTCCCAGAATTCCCCAGCCAGAATGATTTCGAGACAAGGTGATTCTTAATCCTTCCCCAAGATTAAGGGGGAGAAAACCCCAGTTTTGGCTCCTGTACCTTTGTCACTATCAAACTATTTAGTACAGTAGTCCTTGACTTACAAACATTCGTTTAGTGACCGTTTGAGGTTACGTCACTGAAAAAACAGACTTCACATGTATGACTGTTGTTCTATGGTCACTTAATCAAAATTCGGACACTTGGCAACTTACTGACTCATATTTATGACGGTTGCAGTGTCCCAGAGTCACATGATCCCCTTTAAGATCCTTCTCCAGACTCAGGGGGGCTTACAATGCATTAAGCAATCCTTCATCCTTTTGTATCAAAGTCAGCTTATTGCCACAATCTGTCCTCAGTTTACCTACCTTAGAAAGATGGAACTGAGTCAACCTTGAGCCTTGAGATTCGAACCTGCAGTAATTGCAGGCAGCTGGTGTTAATCACAACTATCAGTCTGCTGAGCCACCAGGCCCTTTTGCGACCTTACAATCAAAGTCAATGGTGGAAGCCTGATTCACTTAACAACCGTGTTACTAACTGAACAACTGCACTGGTTCCCTTAGCAACTATGGCAAGAAAGGTCTCAAAACGGGGCAAAGCTCACTTAATGAATCCCTTAGCAATGTAAATTTTGGGCTCCATTGTGGTCGTAAATCGAGGACCTTTGGTATAAGAATCCCCCAGAAATCAAAACATTTTTTCCCAGCCTCACCTGGGTTCCACTCCATGGCGTTGTCCGCCGGACCCGCCATCTGATATTTGTCGGAATAGCGCTCGATATCTGGAGAAATTAAAAATTTGGGAATTAGCGATGCCCTCTTTAAATAACGGAGGGTGAGAAGATGGAGGAGGCGAGCAGGCCGAGATGGCGGGCGGGGTAAAAGCCGTCATTAGTTGGGAATCACGGCGCAGTCACAAATGTCCAAAGTTTAGCTCCCTTCCCTTGAATTCCGCTGACTCTTCTCTAAGCGCCAGTTTAGCTTGACTATCAGCAGACCAGATCCTTGTGTACAAGAGCTGCAGATATTTTGAATGATGGGAAAACTAGCAGGTAGAAAAGAAAAAAAAGAAAGAAGGGGAAAAAAAGAAAAGAAGCGAAAAATCCCATGCGCGATTCGATGACATCACAGAAGCTCAGCCAACCACGAGGCAGAAATTATTTCAAAGGACTTCACGGTTTTCTCGGCCGTGATACCTTTTTTGGGGGCCGAAGGTTTGATGAAATACGGCAGATTCTTCATGGCCCCCCTCAGCTCCTGCTTCAGAGCCAGCATGTATTCCACCTCCTCTCCGGCCAGCAACGGAAGCGGCTTATATTCCAGCGGCTACAGAAACAAGCCAGAATCAAGACAAAACGTGAGAAAGCTTCGGCTCCCTTCCCCCCAGCACGTTTCATCGGGCTATTAAATTAACCCGTTTTCTTATTGATAGGTTTAAGACCCTGAAGCAGCAACAACCCGACCGGTGAGTTCCCACAATCCGGTAAGCCACAATTAAACAAACCACAGATGCTTCATGTATTGTGGGAATGCAGCCAGTATTCCTTTCGCCGATCCAAAAAAGGGGGAGCCTTAAAAATCGAATTTGGTCTGGTTACAGGTAGTCACTTAGTGACCGTTTGAAGTTACAATGGCACTGAAAAAAGTGATTTATGATTGTTTTTTGTTGCAGCTTTCCGCATGGTCACCTAATCCAAAAAAATAATTTTCAAAAATGGAAGAGGAGCAAGTAAAAGAAACTATGATAGCACAGTACCTAAAAATTTTGGATTCTCTATAGCAGTGATGGCTAACCTTTTTGCCATCGCATGCCAGGAAGGAGGGGGGCGGGGGAGGTTCGCGTATGCACGTGCCCACACCCATAATTTTATGCACCCCGCCCTGCGCATGCGCGCCCAACCTCCCCTCCCCCCCTTGCTCCTGGCCCGTTTTTCTTTGTCACCTGGCTCCAGATCCTCTCTATGCATCTGGGGAGGGTGAAAATAGCCTTCCCCATCTACCCCCAGGCCCTCCAGAGGCAGAAGACAGCATGTTTCCCTACTTCTGGTGGTCCCAAAAGGCCTGAAAATCAGGTGGCCGGCACGCACATGCGTGCCAGAGCTGAGCTGGCGTGCCCACTGATATGGCTATGCGTGCCACCTGTGGCACGTGTGCCATAGGTTCGCCATCACGGCTCTATAGAATTGGACAAATGGCAAAAGTTGCGGGACAGAAACTATAAATTGACATTGTCCACTGCATATAAAGAAAACTTATACAAAATGTTTTATAGATGGCACTTCCCTTCAGCAAGATTAGCTAGAATGTTTAAGAATATGTCTGCTAAGTGTTGGAAGTGCAAGCAAATGTGATGGACATGCCCAAAAGCAAAAAAAAAAAACCCACTACTGGACCAAAGTACACACCAGGCTAGAAAAAATGATAAAGAAACATATAGATTTAAAACCGGAAATATTTCTGTTGGGCATTATACCAGACAAATAGAGTAAAAGAAATGCATACTTAAATACATGTGTTAACAGTGGCCAGAATCGTGTTCGCATTGGAAGGGCGATCAGATCCCCACAGAAGAAAAGATAATAACAAAAAATTTAGAATGTGCAAAAATGAATAAACTAACATTTGAAATTAAGGAAAAGGAAGACACTGAATATTTGTAGGTATGGGATCTGTTCTATCGATGGCTAAATAAGAGAAACAGGAGTTAGAACTTCAAAAACAATAAGAGAAAGATTAATCTTATTATTAGGATTGTTTACCGTAACTTATTAACTTTGGTTAATTTTTATTAGTATTAAGACTAGACTAGACTAGACTAGACTAGACTACACTAGAATAGAATAGAATAGAATAGAGAAGAGGAGTGGAGAGAAGAGGAGAAGAATAGAATAGAATAGAATAGAATAGACTAGAATAGAATAGAGAAGAGGAGTGGAGAGAAGAGAAGAGGAGAAGAATAGAATAGAATAGAATAGAATAGAATAGAATAGAATAGAATAGAATAGAATAGAATAGAATAGAATAGAATAGAATAGAGAAGAGGAGTGGAGAGAAGAGGAGAGAAGAGGAGAAGAATAGAATAGAATAGAGGAGAAAAGAGGAGAGGAGAGGAGAGGAGAGGAGAGGAGAGGAGAGGAGAGAATAGAATAGAATAGAATAGAATAGAATAGAATAGAATAGAATAGAATAGAATAGAATAGAATTCTTTATTGGCCAAGTGTGAATGGACACACAAGGAATTTGTCTTTGATGCATACGCTCTCAGGGTACATAAAAGTAAAGATACATTCGTCAAGAATCATAAGGTACAACTAATGCAATTAATATGTATTGATGTTATGAGGGAAAAGCACTGTTCTTATGAGATTACTATTACAGAATACTATTATCATTACTGTGATGCTTATTACTCAAAGGAACTGTAACCAGACAACTCTATATGGATTTTGAATATGTTGCTCTTTTTTATTTATATTAATAAAAATTATTTTAAAAAAAAAGAAACAAAAAAATAATTTTCAGCCTGTAAGAGCCACATTGAGTCCGGGAGTGTAGCTATGTCTTAAGGACTTCAAAAGTCCAAAAAGGGTGAAACCACACTCGAACTCAGGACCCATCACAAAAAAGAAAATTTAAATACACGGGCACTGAAATATATTCAAAAATCTCCCAGAATCTACCTCTGGAGACAAAAATGGACGGAATTATCTTTACGTTGAAATGATCTAAAGATCATTCAGTGATATTTCCTTATAAAATACTCTTGTTTCCCCGAAAATAAGACCTCCCCTGATAATAAGCCCAATTGGGCTTTTGAGCGCATGCACTAAAATATTTATTTATTTTATTTATTTGATTTGATTTGTAATAAGCCTCCCCCCCCCTTGAAAATAAGCCCTCCCCAAAAATAATTAAACGCAGAGTTGGAAATCAGGCAAGACGGCAAGAGGAGTCCCATATTGCTCCACGCGCTCCAAAATAATAAAACCTCCCCGAAAATAAGGCCAAGCGCTTATTTTGGGGTTCAAAAAAAATAAAATAAGACAGGGTCTTATTTTTGGGGAAACACGGGTAGATTGTCCTCGAGTTATGACTGTTTGTTCGGTGACCTGTTAGGACCTGTGCTGAAGGAAGGGGCCTAGGATGGTCCTGGAAGTGTGGTAAGATTTTCTGAAAAGCAGTTTTAACAACGAAGGGAAAAATTGGGGGAGCATCCAAGGAAGGAATTCAAAGGCAACTGAGCAACTCACAGGGAAGAGGGGTGATGGCTTCAGGGTGGGAGGGGGCAACGCCTCCCCCTTCCCGATGCCCACCGCCTCAACATTGAAGGTCATGTGGGCCCCCCGGCCCCTTCCTCTTCCACCTCTTCCAGCCATGAGGAGACCCTGGTTGGGGGAAAAAAAAAACCCATTAAAAAGATTACACAGTCTTAGAAGTCAAGAAGTCCCAAAATAAGCGAGATCAGGAATTTCTGCAGACGATAGTCCTTGACTTCTAACAGTTCCTTTAGTGACCATTTGAAAAAAGTGACATGGCCATTTTTCAGACTTACGACCGTTGCAGCATCCCCATGGTCACGTGATCCAAATCCAGCTGCTTGGCAACCGACTCATATTTATGACGGCTGCAGACGGTTGCGACCTTCTGACCGGCAAAGTCAATGGGGAAGCCAGAATTAGCAACTGGGTTACTAATTTAACAGCTGCAGTGATTCACTTAACAACTGGGGCAAGACAGGTCGTAAAACGGGGCAAAACTCACTTAACAACTGTCTTGCTTAGCGACAGAAATTTTGGGCTCAATTTTGGTCGTAAGCCGAGGACTTACCTGCGTTCAATTGCTGCATTATTATTTGTTTGGGACTCCACTGCTGTGACATGAACCAGAGTGTCCCATTCAGACATTACTAAATTGTTTGTTGATCTGGGTTTACACAGGTCAGTGATGGCTAACCTTTTTGCCGTTGCGTGCCAAAAGCGGGGGGAGTGCAGGGGGTTTGTGCACCTGCGTGCCCACACCCATAATTCAATGCACCCCGCACATGCGCGCGTGACCCCCTCCCGCACTCCCCCAACTTTTGGCACGTGATGGCATGGTGGGCCCGGTAGGCCCATTTTTCGCCCTCCCCAGGCTCCAGAGTCTTTTTAGGAGCCTGGCTAGGGCAAAAACTGCCTTCCCCCCGGAGGCCCTCTGGAGGCCAGAAACAGCCCATTTCCCAACTTCCAGTGGGCCCGGAAGGCCCGTTTTTTACCCTCCCCAGGCTCCAAAGGCTTTTCTGGAGCCTGGGGAGGGCGAAAACTGCTTTCCCCACCCCCCCAGAGGCTGGAAACAGTCCATTTCCTGACTTCCGGTGGGCCCGAAAGGGCTGAAAATCAGGTGGCTGGCGCACGCATGCATGCTGGGAGCTGAGCTAGGGCAACGCTCACATGCACACAGATACAGCTCTGCGTGCCACCTGTGGCACACATGCCATAGGTTCGTCATCACGGACATAGGTCATGAGAACACAGCCTGGGTGGGGGGGGGTGTTTTCCCCACTGCTGCTGCTCATGGCTCCCCCCCCTCCCTTAGGGTCTCAGAAACTAGGTCTAAGCGACTGCAGCTAGAAATACAGTTGTTCAACGCAATCTTTGTGACTTTCCCAGCAAATATGAGAAGGAGAGTGGAGTGGGTATGCTAGATCTGGCTGCAAACATGCAAGCCACCACCAGAGGGCAGCAAAGACACGGCAGTATCTGCAAGGCAGGCCTCATACTTGGGGGGGGGGAAATCACAGTTGATTGACATGAAGACAAACCATTTAAAACAAAGAGTTTTTCAAACTTGGCCATTTTTAAGATGCATGGACTTCAACTCCCAGAATTCCCCAAAGAGCATCCCTTTGCAAGACAAAGAGCCTTGGTGGTGCTGTTAAGTAGCTGCCAGCTGCCTGCAATTACTGCAAGTTCAAATCTCAGCAGGCTCAGGGTTGACTCAGCCTTCCATCCTTCCGAGGTAAGTAAAATGGGGACCCGGATTGTGGGGGCAATAAGATGACTTTGTATTAAAAAGAACACCACTTGGGGGGGGGGGGCGAAAGCCCTACTAAGCAGGTCTATACAAAAGTATGAAGGCTATTGCTTAACGCATTGTAAGCCGCCCTGAGTCTCCGGAGAAGAGCGGCATATAAATCGAACCAATCAATCAATCAATCAATCAATCAATCAATCAATCAATCAATAAAGGAAGGGCATGGAAGGTATTTCAGTTTGCTGTGATCTTCCTCCACCTTAATAATAGCAGGAAAAGCCATCCTAGAAATGGGCTCCCTGCAAGCTGAAAGATAGCTCTGCAGGCAAACAAAAGGAATTTAAAAAAAAAAAAAAAAAAAAACCAGTTAATTCAAACTTGGTCACCTAAAGATGGATGAACTTCCGTCCACTTTAACTTGGCCAAGTTGGAGAAACTCCGATTCAAACTGTCCTTATTTATCAAATGGGCAGCACACAGCAATAGATAAAACACAAACAATAGCAAATACTATAAATATAACAGTAATGTATAAATTATATCACTGGAGGTTTTCAAGTAGAGACTGGGGATGGTATAGACTAGACTAGAGCCTAAACGCTTGAGCTTGAGATACACGGGCATAGAAAGACGCTGCAGCTGTCCCAAAGGGGCCTGCAATGCTCAAGAGGCTCCTGGACCACCCATTGTCAAGAACTTAAATGTCCAGCGGCCATTTGAGGCAACTGGATTCCCTTGTTTTTCTTTGAAGACGTTTTGCTTCCCATCCAAGAAGCTTCTTCCGCTCTCACCGGATGGTGGGGAATGTGGGTACCGGCATCTCGGTTCCGGGAGAATATTCCATCGTTGGCTATAGGGGGTGAGGTGTTGCCCCCTGTAGAAAGGGTGTGCAATTTAGGCGTCCTCCTGGATTCACGGATGATCATGTAACGACCGTGACTAGAGGGGCATTTGTGCAGATTCGTCTGGTGTGCCAGTTGCGCCCCTACCTTACGCACAGTCACTCATGCGCTCGTCACCTCCTGGATCAACTACTGCAATGCTCTCTACATGGGGCTGCCCTTTTTTTTTTTTTTTTGTAAATATTTTTTATTTATTTTTTCAAATTTAAACATAAAAACATAACTTTCAAGAGCAAAAATCTCGATCCGGTCATAGATGGTTACCACGCTTACATTCCTTTCACAGGCTCAATTCACAATTTCCATTACATTTTTTATAAACAAACAAAAAAAGAAAAAAAAAGAAGAAAAAAAAGAAATTCAAAACTTAAGAAAAAACCAATTTTACCTCAAATTTTACATTTTCATCTATATAAATCCATTATATCTATCCAAAATTAGTTTCAAATTCACTTTCACTCATTTTTACATCTGCATAACAATTCTAAACATATCTTTATTCTTCTTTACCTTATATCTTATACAAGGCATATCAAAATAATTTTTACAATATTCTAACCTCTTGTTAAGTGTTCACCTTACAATTTTATCACCATTTATTCTTAGTTTCAATTCAATACCACTCCACTTTTATTATATTTTATAAAACAACATTTTATCTCATTTTAATCCTTTGACCCTTATCCTCAAATCAGTTTACCTTAGTTTTTTTTCCCTCCCAGTTTACATATTACACAGATTTCTCACAAAGGCATATTTTATTTACTCCAATTTCTAATATATTTTCCATTATATCTCCCTCTAATATTTAACTATCTTCCAGCTTGTTCACATGGGGCTGCCCATGAAGACCATTCGGAGGCTTCAGCTGGTGCAGAATGTGGCCACGCGGGTAGTGATGGGAGCGTCCGGACACTCTCATGTTACACCCTCCTGCGGGACCTGCATTGGCTACCAGTTGCCCTTCGGGTGAGATTCAAGGTGCTGCTAATTACCTATAAAGCCCTACATGGCTTAGGCCCAGGATACCTGGCGGACCATCTGCGGCCAGCGACAGCTCCCCATCGCCCGGTGCGTTCCCACAGGGAGGGCCTCCTTGGGGTCCCGTTGGCCAGAGAGCATCGACTGGTGACTCCCAGGGAGCGGGCCTTCTCTGTGGGCGCGCCTACTCTGTGGAATCAGCTCCCCCTGGAGCTCCTGACCTTCGCTCCTTCCGCCGTGATCTTAAAACATGGTTATTTGGCCTGGCCGGATTGGACTGAAGGGGTTTTAAATGTGATTTTAATGGGTTCTTATATTTGTTATATTTTATAATTGAATTTTGTATTTATTGTATTATAGCTGCCCTGAGTCCTTTGGAGAGAGGGCGGCATACAAGCCCAATTAATTAATTAATTAATTAATGGAAGGGTTTATACTCCTTGCAGACAATCTGGTCCTTTGCATCCTTTTCAGAGGGTCGTAGAGGCCACTTGGACCCTGAGAACACAGATAAAACTCCGAGTGGCCTCAACGACCCTCTAAAAAGGATGCAAAGGACCAGATTGTCTGCAAGGAGTATCAATCCTTCCGTTCTCCACCATCCAGTCAGAGCCGAAGAAGCTTCTCGGATGAGAAGCGAAACGTCTTCAAAGAAAAAAAACAGAAAATCCGGTTGCCTCTTGAGAAAAAAAAAGCATCTTTGGGAAAACCGTGACCTGGATGATGGAGAATCTTGACAAACTCTGCTTCCGTAAAAAGCCTCCAGGCCTGGCAAAACCTCCAGAGGATCTTCTGGAAAACCAAATCCAGGAATGCCTGAAGAGCTAACTTTCTCCTTGCAGGAGGGAATCTATTTCTAGGCTGGCTGTTTGCTGTTGTTATTACAGATAAACAAGGGTTGGAAGGGACATTGGAGGTCACCTAGTCCAACCCCCTTTCCGAGCAGGGGACCCTACATACCGTTTCTGACTGATAACAGATGAACAGAGTTGGAAGGGACCTTGGAGGTCATCTAGTCCAACCCCCTGCCCAAGCAGGAGACCCTACATACCATTTCTGACAAATGGCAGTCCGGAAAACCAAGGCATGTAGCCCCCCCGCCTTTCGACACCCCCCCCTTACCTGCTCCGACCCAGCAGAGGACTTCCTAGCGCGCGTTCTCTCCCTTCGATCCGCGCCCGACGCGAATCGAACGCCGCCAGAGAAGCCGGATACTCTACGTTCGAAAGGGGCGGAGCTTCTGGTTCGGCCAGCCAGTGAGAGAGGCGAGAGCCGCTCAGGTTCGATACGCGACGTTCGAAAGGGCGGGGGGGGAGAAAAAAAAAACTCTGGTTGGGGTAGCCAATCAGGAGGAAGAAGGCGGGGAAAGGGGGCGTGGCTTGCGGGGCTGTTGAAAAAAAAAAAGGCGAGCTGAGCAGGGCTGTTTGCGTAAGGAGGAGCCGCTAAGCCACTCTGTTGAGTTCCCATCATCCACAGCCTTGTAATGGTTGCGTTATAAGTAAGGGGAATCAAATCGATATAAAATAAGGGTCTGTTTTATAGGCGTTTCGTTGATCTTGGAGTTGTTTTGGGAGTTTTAATGGCAACTTTACGACCGGTGGACTTCAACTCCCAGAATTCCTGAGCCAGCTAAGCTGGCTCAGGAATTCTGGGAGTTGAAGTCCACCGGTCGTAAAGTTGCTATAGTTAAGCCCCCGCCTTAGATCATCCCAAATTTCCCTTTAATGCTCCGCTAGGGGGGCAGCCTCGCCTCTCCAGAAAAGCTCACTGAGGCTGGAGTAGGAGAATGAGACGGGATGGGATGGGGCACCACCTGGAAATCCTAGGAAGTAGCTTCCTCTGAATTGAAGAGTCTCTCTTAACCTTTTCTTCGCTGGAAAAGCTGGCCGAGGAAACAACCCGGCTGGGTTCTGTACCAGGGGTAATAAACCAAGATCTCTTGAATGATGGCTTAACATGCTGGCTTACTTCGCTCAACATAAGTGCAGCACCGTTTGTCCAAAGCGGATCTAGCGGGTTGGATGAACGCAGCCAATGGGGTGGTTGGCCTGGGGGAAGCCAACCAGATGTGTGTTCACAGGGGTCTTGTCGCTGGGTTTACAGATGCAGATTAACAGAGTTGGAAGGGACCTGAGAGGTCATCTAGTCCTACCCCCTTTCCTCCTTATTTCTAGGTTGAATCTCTCCTTGATCAGTTTCCATCCATTCTTCCTTGTCTGGCCTTTGGGTGCCTTGGAAAATAGCTTGGCCCCCTTTCTCCTCTCCGGGGCAGCCCCTCAAATATTGGAAGACTGCTATCATTTTTTTTAGCTTTAGTACAGGTAGTCCTCGACTTACGACGGAGTCATTTAACAGCCGATTAAAGTTTCAATAAACGCCGGGTCTGACAGCTGAAGGGGGGGGCTCTCTCTCCCCCTCGCTTTGGACATGTGACCTTCATTTGGGGAGCTCAGCAACCCGTCTGCATTTAAGGCCATTTGCCAGGTCCCCATGATTGCAATTTATGACAGTTTTCTGCCATCCCCTCCCCCCACATAGGGATCAATGGGCTCACTTAACGACAGCTGCAAAAGTTGGGGAAAAGGGGTTTGATCGCATGGGTGATCTTGACGATCGTTCCGACTTGATAACCATAATGAGCAGGCTCTATGGGTAGTCCTCGGCTTACGACCACAATGGAGCCCCAAAATTTCCGCAATCCACAGTTGTTAAGTGAAATCATGCCCCGTTTTACAACCGTTCTGGACACAGTTGTTGAATAACAGCAGTTGTGACTAAAACGGCTTTAAGTGAATCTGGCTTCTCCATTGACTTCGTTTGTCAGAAGGTCGCAAAAGGGGACGGCAATGACCCCAGGACATTACGACTGTCGTTAATACGAGTCAGTTGCCAAGCGTCTGAATTTTGATCTCGTGACCATGGGGACGCAGCGAACAGTCATTTTTCAGCAATGTGGTAACTTCAAACGGTCACTAAATGAATGGTTGTAAATTGAGGACTACCTGTATTATGGTCATAAGTCAAGGACTATCCGTAATGCCTTCCCCAACCTCGCCCAAAGTATTACGCTGGTACTGCCAATGGGTTAACTCAACAACTAGGTTACATATTGTGGGAATGCAGTTCCTGAGTTCTCTTTTGCCAGCTGCTTCCTTTCTTGGTTTTCAGGCAGGGAGAAAAAAAATGGATGAACTTACAGACCCATTTTTGAGTATCAATTTAGAATAGAATGAGTTGGAAGGGACCTTGAAGGTCTACTAGTCCAGCCCCCTGCTCAGGCAAGAAAGCCCTATACCATTTCAGACAAGTGACCGTCCAGTCTCTTCTTAAAAACCTCCAGTGATGGAGCACCCACGATTTCTAGTGGCGAGCTGTTCCACTGGTTAATTGTCCTCACTGTCAGGAAATTACTCCTTTAATTCCAGGTTGCTTCTGTCCTTGATTATTTTCCATTCATTGTTTCTTGTCCTGCCTTTAGATGATTTGGAGAATAGGTTGACCCCAGGGGTGAAATCCAATTTTTTTTACTACCGGTTCTGTGGTTGATGGGCATGGTGTGGCTTGGTAGGCGTGGCGGGGGAAGGATACTGCAAAATCTCCATTCCCACCCCACTCCAGGGGAAGCAAAATCCCCATTCCCACCCCACTCTGGGGCCAGCCAGAGGTGGTATTTGCCGGTTCTCCGAACGGCTCAAAATTTCCGCTACCGGTTCTCCAGAACCTGTCAGAACCTGCTGGATTTCATCCCTGGTTGACCCCCTCTTCTTTGTGGCGCCCTCAAATATTGAAATACTTCTGTCATGTACCCCCTATTCCTTCTTTTCTCTACACTCGCTAAACCCAATTCCTGCAACCGTTCTTCATATGTTTTAGTCTCCGGGCCTTTTAATCCTCTTAGTTGCTCTTCTCTGCACTTTTTCCAAAGTCTCAGCATCTTTTTTGTAATGTGGGGCCCAAAACTGGATGCAGAATTCCAGGTGTGGCCCTTACTAAGGCTTTATGAAGCGGTACTGATACTTCACATGATTTTGATCCGATGCCTCTGTTTATACAACCCAGGATTCTATTAGCTTTTTCGGCAGCGGCTGCACACAGCTGGCTCAAGAATCAAAAAAATATCAGGGAGAACAACTGGAGAAAGAGAATTGGTGAGGATTTTGGTTATAATGGGGAGAATTATAATTGCTAGATATTGGAAATTAAATGTTGACTTAAAATTAGAAGAATGGTATAATGAAACATGGAAATTTGCATTAAATGATAAATTGACTTGTGATATTAAAATTAGAAGTGGTATATATAAAGAGAATGTTTTTTGGAACACTTGGCAACCATTTGTGGACTTTGCCAGTACCTTATCAAAGAGATTTCTGGAAGAATTGAAGACTTTAATTTCCTAAAACTTCCTTTCCATTTGTATAGCACGTTGGGGGGAAAAAAATTTTCTTTCTTTATTAGTGATTTTTGTATTGTTTTTTTTTTCTGTTATTCTTTAACAATAAAAATACAATAAAAATTTTAAAAAAAGAATCAAAAATATCAAGCTATCAAGAAACTGAATCTTTCCTATTATCCCATTTTCATAGAATTTTCTTTTTCCTGCCAGAGGAATTCTGGGAGTTGAATTTTACCCCTCTTAAAACGAGTAGCCTGGCCTGGCTGAATTCACCTAATTGGTCTTTTTTTTTTTTAAGATTTTTTTTATTTTAAAACAACAACAAAACATAAAACCATCATCATTCCAATTACAGACAGTGTGTCGATCGGTTAACATTCTTTTGTGCATAATCCCATCTTCAAAGTACCAATATATAACAAAAGTTTATTACTCATAAAAAAAGAACTTCACATATTTTATCTTTACATCAACTTCATATTTCATATTTCATCTCCATGTTTTATTATCTATCCATTGATAGAACAAATCCCATATCAATAATATTGTTTATCTTCCTGTTCTCTAATTTCAAATGTCAATTTACTCATTTCAGCACAGTCCATAATTTTCTTGATAACTTCATCATCAGTAGGTATCTTCTCTCCTTTCCAGTTTTTGGCAAATACAATTCTAGCCGCTGTTAAAACGCTCACAATTAAATATTGCAATTCTTTATTATATGTCTCTGGTGAGATCCCTAACAAAAATATCTCTGGTTTAAAGTCAATATGTCTCTGTCATTTTTTCCAACCACGTGTGTAGCTTAGTCCATATCTCCTTGCTTCTATGCATGTCCATCACATATGGTAATAAGATCCTGGAGTCTGATGACACTTCCAACACTTCTCCGATTTATTCTGGAACATTCTGGCTATCCTCGTCGGGGGTAGATGCCACCTGTAAAACATTTTATACAAATTCTCCTTATATGCTGTAGACGTTGTCATTTTATAATTTTGCAACCACAATTTTTGCCATTTTTCTAAATCAAACCCATGGCCAATTGATCTTAATCTTACAGAACAACAGAGTTGGGAGGAACCTCGGAGGTCTTCTAGTCCAACCCCCTACTAAAGCAGGAGACCCTATACCAGTCTAGACAAATGCCGTTCCAATCTCTTTTTAAAAACCTCCAGTGATGGAGAACCCACAATTTCTGGAGGCAAGTCATTCCCCTGGTCCAGGGGTCAGCAACCTGTGGCTCTGGAGCCGCATGTGGTCCTTTTCATCCTTCTGCTGCAGCTCCGTCACTCAAAATATGCATCATGGAGCTTTTCAACCCCCTGGTAGGCCAACCATGGATAAATCCAAGAAAAATTTCAGAAGAAAACAGAACATTTAATTCAACTACCTAGGACAGTTTTGTGGCCGCTCAAGGAATAGTCAGGCACAGGAAGAGTTTTGTGGCTCCCGGTGTTTTCTTTTCTGTGGGAAACGGGTCCAAATGGCTCTTTTGAGTGTTTAAGGTTGCAGACCCCTGCCCTGGTCCATTGTTCTCATTGTTAGGAAGTTTCTCCTTAATTCCAGGATGCTTCACTCCTTGGTTAGATTCCATCGGATGCTTCTTCTTGTCCTGCCTTCGGGTGCTTTGGAGAAAGGTAGACCCCCTCTTCTTTGTGGCAGCTTCTCAAATATTGGAAAACTGCTATCATGTCCCCCTTAACCCTTCTTTTCATCAAATTAAGAACATACCCAATTCCTGCCACCAATTCGTATGTTTTAGCCTCCAACCCTCTAATCATCTTGGTTGCTATTCTCTGCATATTTATTTATTTA